TGCTAGCAATCTCCATCACTAACTTACTTCTCTTGAGACAGGGTCTACTTCTATCAGTCCATGTTCTGAGCCAATGAGCACTGTTTCCTGTTCAGTTCGGAGAGAGAAGCACTGAGGTTTCCCTGGACCTTGAATATCCCTGATCTCCAGGGTCTGAAATAACTTCAGATTTCGCATGATGAAGAGCTTCTCACGACACAAGTACCACTCACTACCCTTGATGAACCATTAATCCCTAAGAGAGAAAGAAATAGCTTAATAGTGATAAATGGCCATACTTATTTAAGTGAAATGATTCAGCAGGTGAAGAAGTGGTAGTTAGAATCAGAATAACAAAAAAACAAAACAAAACAAAACTTATCTCTCTGAGTACACACCCATGTATGGATTATAGCAGCAACCTGACCCACTCTATATAGTTATGGTCTACAAATTAAGAATTCTGAAAGCTATTTTATGTTCTCACTCTTTATTTTGTTTTATTTATTTATTTACTTATTTATTTTTTTTTTTTTTGAGACGGAGTTTCTCTCTTGTTACCCAGGCTGGAGGGCAATGGCTCAATCTCTTCTGGGTTCAGGCAATTCTCCTGCCTCAGCCTCCTGAGTAGCTGGGACTACAGGCACGCACCACCATGCCCAGCTAATTTTTGTATTTTTGGTAGAGACGGGGTTTCACCTTGTTGACCAGGATGGTCTCGATCTCTTGACCCTGTGATCCACCCGTCTCGGCCTCCCAAAGTGCTGGGATTATAGGCGTGAGCCACCATGCCTGGTCATTCTCACTCTTTAAAAGAGGCAACTTTTAGAATGTTTTCTTCAAAAAAGATGCAATATCAGTTATTCCTTTGAGGAAGTTGAAAGAACAAATGAATGGGGAAACATTTTATTTTTGCATATTAGGGACATCTTTGTAAAATCCTAAGGAAAAACAAAAGGGTATCCCATTGATTAGCACTATTTGAAAATCCATGTTTATATACTGGCAGTTGAAGAGAATCTGAAATGACTTTAATACTCACCAGGTCTATTAATTTATAAACTGACTTTATACATTCATAAAAAAATTGAAATCAAAGATAGAAAAGCATTTACTGTTCTAAGGGGGAAAGAGGAAATACTGAGACATGACAACAATTTACTTCAAAATGATGACCAACGTTTCAAGGAGCTTGATGACCTGACATAACTACCAGTAACTTTGTTCTTCTGGCCAGGCTTTTCCTAGCACAATACAAAACATGAGAAAAGAGTGCTAAACAGGACATCTACTGTGGTCTGGAAAAATAGGACTTGCTTAAATGCATAACCTTCCCTAAGTAGGAAAAAAAAATGTTAGTGTGCTATTTATATTCAGATCCCTTTAAGGTTCATGACTGTAAGTCCTAACTTATGTTAGGAGTAGCAATTACAAGGACCACACTGGCCTTTATTGTCACTTTAACCCAAGGAGAATTCTCTCATCTTGGCACCCCACACATGTATGACATACAAAGAATAAAAATGAATCAATCCTAATAGTACACAGAAGATGATGTCAAATATAATAGGAACTATATAATATATAATCTGGGATAAGAGGAAGGCAAGATCATATATGATGGAAGTGAGGAAGACAAGGCAGACAATGATTTTAGTAAGTTTTGGTGACCTTTTTTTCAAGGGTTTAAAATATAATTTTAATAAAGTATATATAAAGTATAGATGAAAAGGGGAAATATGAAATCTGGCAAAAGTCTTTTGGCTTTCTTACAAATGGTATCCTTATAATTCCCCAAATATCAGAGGATGAAATATTTTTCATTTTATCCTCTGATAAAAAATAAAATGATTGCAATTCAATTTTATTTCCTATGATACTTTATGTATCAGAGTCACTTGCACATTCTGGTCTGCTGTCATCTGGCCCATCACTTTCCTTACCCCAGTCTTTCATAGATGTTCCCATTATGAATTCATCACACAGGATCGTCTCACCTGGGCCCTCTTCTGATTGGTTTTTGGTTTCTTCCTGCTTGAAGTAGTCTCATTTGTACTTTCACCCATTCCTCTCAAAACACTGATGAAATCTTTCTCGGAAACAGTTGATATCAACTTAACACACTTTCTAATAGAGCTTTCAGCTTCTTCAACCTTTTCATTAACGTTCTTTTGTTGTTTCTGAACGGCACTATATAATTGCACCACACCCCTTGTTGCAATTCTCTGAAGATTTCCATCTCTCTGTTTTGGACAACATCGGGATTCACTCTGCACATCGTTTCCCACTCCAGCCTCTTACCCAGTTGTTTTATTTTCTCTAGTCTTTCTTGCTTTAACTTTTCTTTTTCCAGTTTATTTTTGACCAGAATAGTAGGTTTACTTTCAGGAGTTTGCTTGTTGAGGACTTTAGCCATGGCATCTGCCCAGCCCGTATTAGTCCCAACACTTGATTCTCAACATTTTCATTTTCTTTGTCACAGGGCTCAGCATCACCCTCATTGTCAGCTTCTATTGTTTCATCATCAGAATAAAAGTGATCCTTTTCTGATCCACAGCTTCCTATAGAACCTTCACTATCGGAAATGTCCGTGACCTTGCCTTCCAGTACCAATGCTACGGTTCCAGTTACCATTTTCATCTTCTTCTCTGGGGTCTTTATCAGATTTTCCTCCGCACTCTCACCTGAGTCCGGAACGGCGGCTGCCATTTTTCCATTCCGGAAGTTTTTACGTCACCTGACAGTTGCGTCTGGTGGCAAACAGAGGAACTTCTGCCTTGCTGACATTTATATTCAAGAACTTCTAGAAATTACTTGAAAACTCTATCATATCATGCAGTCTTTTTTTTTTTTGAAACGGAGTTTTGCTCATGTTGCCAAAGCTGGAGTGCAATGGCGCGATCTCAGCTCACCGCAACTTCCGCTTCCCGCGTTTGAACGATTCTCCCGCCTCAGCCTCCGAGTAGCCGAGATTACAAGCGCCCGCCACCATGCCCAGCTAATTTTTGTATTTTTGGTAGAGACAAGGTTTCACCATGTTGGCCAGGCTGTTCTTGAACTCCTAACCTCAGTGATCCACCTGTCTCTGCCTTCCAAAGTGCTGGGATTACAAGCCTGAGCCACTGTGCCTGGCCGCGTTTTTCATCTTTAAATATCATAAAAATGCCTCAAAACTAGTTTCTCTGAAATTTCACACCCATCACTCGTATTCCCTTATCTTCTTAGAGGAAGACTTGCCTCCACTTTCTTCCAGGCTAGGAAAGGAATATCCTCCATATTGCCCCAGGACCTAGGCTTATTGGTACTCTGTTTGACATCTGCAACCTCCAACTTCCCTGCCTCCATTGATTCAATTTTTCTCAGTCCTTAAATGTGCTAAAGATCTCTCCATACCAAAGGTCAATCGTGGAGTCTCTCTTAATTTTCTGACAACTCCTTCATTTTCTTCCCTTGCTCCTTCAACTATCCACCTCTTGGCTAGACATCATACGTATGATTACATGTACCACGGAGATCACAAATATGCTGATAAGGCCTAAATACCCCTAGCTCTCACTAAAATAGCCCAAACTGAACACTAAACCCACATTTTCAACCTCCTGATAGAATCACAAGCATGTCTCACATACACATCAAATAGGACCTGGAAAGCAAAGAACTTGCTATTCTTCCACCAAATGACAGTTCCCACTATTTGGGGACAGGGCATTTCTACTCTCTGTTCCCAAGCTGAAAAACTGTCTTTGCTGCCTTTCTGCTTACTCTTCATATTGATCTATTCATTGATTAGCGCCGTGGCTGTCGATACACAGTTGAATTCTTTACGATCCGGTTTGTGGCCTACATCCAACACTGAGTTACATGCTAAGTGCTGGGATCTGAATATTACTCAGACAGCCACCGTCTCCACGGAGACCATCGTTAACGGGAAAGAAAGCCATGCAAAACACCAAGTTAGATAGAGAAGCACAGGGGACACCACCTCCACGAAAAAGTCGCAGCCGCGAGAACGGACCAGCACCACAGTAGCCGAACCTCTATTAATCGCCGCCTTCCACTGTGGGTTGATGCTCTCGCTTTCAACGTTATTATTCACCCCCTGCATGAAAGCTGGAGTCTCGGTTAAGTGCAGCTGGAGGCGCAGAAGGCATCCCCGGGCTTTCGCGCCTCCCAGCTCCCCCGATGGAACAGGTGGCAAGACTGCAAAAAGGATTTAAGGCTCTAGGAGAGAGGTGGTGCACCCCGCACTTCACTCCCCGGCCCGCAGCAGTCAGAGGAGCCTCCGGGTCTCCTTCACCAGAACACCGCTGGCGGAGGGGTCCAATACGTGTCTCTACCCTGGATGGACCGCTCACCTAAAGACCCCCAAACAAAGGTGCATCCGGCCTCGCCTCCCCAGCCACGCGCAGCCGGCTACCCAGAGTCCGCTCCGAATTGCGCACGCGCCTCTGTCCGCGGTTCCCACTCTCTCACGAAGCGCTCTAGGTCTCCGGGGTGGAGGCGGCCTCCGTGAGTAAAGGCTGCAGTACTGCAGGGAGGCCAGCGGCGCAGGGGTCGCGTCAACAGGGCGGGCCCAGTTCGCGGCGCGCGAGTGACGTCACCACAGGCGAAGGGAACGTGGCCTGGCCGGCTTCCCTGGTCACCTACGGCGGCTGGCTTTCTTTGTAGCCTTGGCACCGTAGAGGTAGAGGAGCTACATTGGTAGCGTCCGCTGTCCCTCTGTCCCCTTGCGCACCTGCCCTACTTTTGTATTTGAACTGTTTTGATGTCGGACTTTAAAGCACAACAATGGGGGGGCGGAGCCTGCGGAGCAAGGAGCAGCGCGCGTGCGCACGACACAGGCCGCGCGCCTGAAGAACACTCCCACTCCGGACTGCCAGGTGAAAGCGCTCGGGTCCGGGAGGGCGGGGGTGGCGGCACCGGAGGTCGCCATGGCTACCGATCCCGAAGCCGCGGAGCCGGTGGTGCCTTCGCTCGTGGATCGGTACTTCACTCGCTGGTACAAAGCGGGTAAGTGAGGAATGATGTTGATCTCTGATTGGCTGCATTGGGCTAATGCTGTGGAGACTACGTTGACATCATAAACCACGCGCGCTCTCCCTGCCGCTTCCTCCCCTCGTCAGAAAGAACTGGACTTCTGTGTTCCGTCTAGGCCCAGGGAATGGCATTTGCAAAGACCTGGTGGCCTGAAATACAGCAGGGCACATTCTAGGGCCGGCGACTGCAGTGCGAGCTCTAGGGTGTTGCTCGCAGATGAGTATTCTAAACGGAGGCCCCGGAGGTAGGCAGAGGACTAGATTACAACAGTCCTTAAGTGCCTGGAGGGATTGAGGGGCAAAATCTACACATTTACTTAAGGAGACCGGTATTGTTCATCTGCGACTTAGAAGTAGGTATTCTTTTTGTGTAAGCAGTACCAGTGGCGGGAGCATCGTTGAGGACTCTCCGCTTAACCCCTAGTTTCTTCCTTTCATTCAGTGATAATAGATATACTCAGTTTAAAAAATACATTGTAGCATATTTTCTGTTGGCCCAAAATGGGGTGACCAACTGTCCCAGTTCACCCATGAGTGAGGGGTTTCCCAGAATGTCGGACTTGCTGCACCAACATCGGGACAGTCCTGGAAACCACCAACAAGAAATATACTGCTGTATCATAAAGAATGGGATGCTAATTGGATTTTCCTGGTAAAAATACTGTGTGTACTCATTTTGAAGTGAGGGTAAAGTAAGATGGAACAAGGAATTACCTTAACGTTGAGTAAATTATTCTGTCTGTGCCAGAGCTCTTTAAATACTTTATAGGAAGCCTTTAAGTATGTCTTTTTGAGTAATGAAGGGATACCAGTGATCAGCATGTAGCATGTATGTATCTAGTCTTCATTATTAACTATCTCCATGACCCAAAGAAGATTTACTTCCACATAGTGGTAGTAAATATTGATTTCAGACTCGTTTATTCTTCTAGATGTTAAAGGAAAATCTTGTGAGGATCACTGTATACTACAGCACTCTAACCGGTAAGCAAATTAGGAATTTTAAATGATCAAAAACTTTTTTCTTCTGGAATTGCAGCCTGGTATTATCACCTGGTATTGTCTTGGATTGAACAAATATGTTCACTAAACAAACATACATTAATTATCTTCTACTATGTTGAAATGGTATTATTAAAGGAGTTTGGCAAGAATGAGTATTCCAGTGCCTGGCCACTCTCAAATAAATTTGATTACTCAAACATCCAAATGGAGGACCACATCATCAGCTGCTACCTAAAGTGGTGGCCAGTCTGTGCCCAACTACTGAACTGTTAGAGCCCAGAGAAAGGGCTATGGTAGAGACATATATGGTATCTTGTATACACAGGCATGCCTTCTTTGTCTTCTACCCCAGTGCTACCTACCTAAAAACCTCTGGTACTCTTCCCTTTCCTGGGAAAGAAATTCAATCTTATTTTCTCTTTTATTATTGTATTCTCCATTCTACAGTTATGCTCCAGTAATACCCAGAGAAAAAAGGGGGAAGATGATAGTTTGACTAAACAAATACCAGTTCATACATTTTTATTCAAATAGGAGTTATGGGAGGAAAAATTACTATTCCAAGCAATTACATAGGACCATTTTTTTTCTCCTTGTAGAATATGTGTCATCACATTGGCAGAATCTCATCCAGTTCTTCAGAGTGGAAAAACAATTAAAAGCATTTCCTATCAGATCAGTACCAACTGTAGCAGACTTCAGAACAAGGTCTCTGGGAAATTTAAGCGGGTATGTTCCTATAATTCTGTGATTATCTACTTACATCTTCTATATTCATGGTAATGATAGATACAATGAACCTTAGAATCCAGTAGCATATGCTTAGCATACTTCTCTAGCAGTTTGAGGTGCTGATTTTAGGTACACTTTAACCTAAAGAAATTCTCAGACTCCCAAAAATTAGGTATCTCAGGAGGTGTAATACCTGTTATATTAGGTTCTGTGCTACTATCCCTATGATACCTAGGATGGAGGAAGTGGAAGGCAGGTCTTTGAAAGGAAAACTCTAATAGCAATATAACAAGATATTTTTTTGCTTCTAGTTGTATTAAACTAGTATCTTGAGTTCTGTAAAATTTATGTGACCAACTTCTTTACCATGTATTTCCATATATAAACAGAAAAAAATTCCCAAGGGAGTAAGAAAAAAAAAGGGGAGGGGGCCAGGCACAGTGGTTCACACATGTAATCCCTGCACTTTGGGAGGCCAAGGTGGGTGGATCATGAGGTCAGGAGTTCAAGACCAGCCTGGCCACATGGTGAAATCCCATCTCTATAAAAATACAAAAATTAGCCAGGCGTGGTAATGAGCACCTGAAATCCCAGCAACTCAGGAGGCTGAGGCAGGAGAATGGCTTGAACCTAGGAGGTTCTGTCTCCCCCAACCCCCCCCCAAAACAACAACAACAACAACAAAAACATGAATACAAGAAAATATATGATATTTCTCCTTACTATTTTTCCATTTCTAAAGCACTGTCAGTATAATACACATTTACCCACCCCCTGTACCTGCACACAATACTCAGTTATACAGAATGCTCTCTCTACCCTCTATAACTCTAGGCAAGATGGACAGATTATTTAAAGAGAGTATCACACTAAGGAGAATTTAATGACATATTAAAATGTCTTGACAAACCCACTGGTTGGGAAAGTTCCTGTGAATGATGTAAGTCCTTCATTTACTGAGCTCATACTCAGAGGTGATTGCTCTCACTATTCCAGGGGACCCTTATTTAAACCCCCTCCTTTGTAGGCCTGAAGTCCCCTAATAATGTACCTTACAATTATTGATTTTTCCTCACTCAAGAAACTAGTGGACTTAGAAAAGCAGGCACCTTTCTTAAAAGATGAAGTCTACACATTACAATAAGTGTAACACTTAAGACTGCTGAAGTTTCTATGATAAATCTCAGTCTACAATAGTAACACTTAAGGTACAAACAGTTGCTCATGCCTATAATCCCAGCACTTTGGGAAGCCAAGGAGGGAGGATCACTTGCAGTCAGGAATTTGAGACAAACCTAGGCAACATAACAAGACCTCATTTCTACCAAGAAAACAATTTTTTTACCTTAGCTGGGCATGATAGCATGCACCTATAATTCCAGTTACCCAGGAGGCTGAGGTGGGAGGATTGCTTAAGCACAGGAGTCAAGGCTGCAGTGAGCCATGATGGTACCACTGCACTCCAGCCTGGATGACAGAACAAGACCCTGTCTCAAAAAAAAAAAAAAAAAAGTAACACTATTGTTACAAATGAACAGAGAGGGACCTGCATATTGAACTGACTACAGATAAGTTTTCATTGGATCTCAGAACTGCCAGTCATTCTCCCAAAGGAGGTGATAAAAAGGCATCAAAACACTTCTGCTCTTTTGGCACAGACCTAGCTCTTCTGTGTCTGCTCTTTTGACACAAGGCATCCCCTTCCTTCCAGAAGCACACAGTCACAATGACTCTAGTATTTTGAAATGAAGAATGCACGTGCAGAGGAGTGAAGCCAACATAGTACTATCTGAATCCCATCTAAAAATGTTTTGAGTGGTTAAATAAAGGGGTCATAAAGAATAGCATCTTAACCTCAAATGCCTATGTCTACTACAGGAAAAATTCCTGAGGAAAAAGAGGGCAACACATGAAACATGCCTGCATTGGCTTTCATGAGCCTCCCTGTAGATACTTGTCAGAGCATCCCCAGGTATATCCATCCATTGGAGTATATGAAACAATAACCACCCTATAACATTCAAACACATATACACCAAAATGTAGTATTGACTAATGGGTAAATTATTTTGCTACTTAAAACTTTTATTTTCCACATTTCCTCAATTACATGCTTTGTTTTTGTTTTCCTTAATTAGAAAAATATCCCTTACTAACATAGTAGGGATTTAAAACGAGGAGGAAAAAAAAATAAAAATATCCCTTCTTCAAAAAAATCTTAGTAACTGATCCTGGTAAATAAGTTCCTTTACTTATTAAGTTCTAATATTAAAATGAGGTAGGAATCTTAATGAAACTAACGTTATACAATATTGCTGTCATATTGTGTCATGTTGAATTTTATTTGATTTCTTGTTGATGGATTTTCCCACACTTTTGAAATCCTTATACCTGGTTATATGTAGCCTTCTCATTTACAGTTGATAAAATATATTGTTAGTCTGTAACTAAATTCCCATATATCATGTGTCTTAGCTTTTTATCCCTAGAGCCCAGGATGTACCTACGTGGAACACAGTAGATACTTACATTCATATATGTTTTGAAATTAATAAATGGATTTTATATACTTAAGTCATTTTGATTTAAAACACCAGTTCCAGGAATACATCCTGTTATACACCGAAGGGCTACTTCTCAAAGGAAAGTGGAAACGTCCATCAATTGATACTTCTTCTCTCTCATTACACAGGGGGCACAGTTTCTAACAGAACTTGCACCTCTCTGTAAGATTTACTGCTCAGATGGTGAAGAATATACTGTATCTAGGTGAGTAACTTTTTAGTCACTATTTAGGAGACCAAAGGGAGGTAATATTTTTTTCTTTAAAACAATTCCTTTTTTTTTTTTTTACGAACATGTTGAAATCTTAAATTTTTTTAATAGCTGTGTTAGAGGACGTTTGATGGAAGTGAATGAAAACATTCTCCATAAGCCATCTATTCTTCAAGAAAAGGTAAAAGAGAGAAAAAGTAAGATTTTTTCTGTGTACCTTTCATTGGATTTTTTTCATCATTTGACAGTACTAAATGTTCTTTCCTTTCCAGCCATCTACTGAAGGCTACATTGCAGTTGTGTTACCGAAATTTGAAGAAAGTAAAAGCATAACAGAAGGGTTACTGACACAAAAACAATATGAAGAAGTCATGGTGAAACGCATTAATGCCACAACAGCTACGTCATGAGGATTGACATGGAGCAAAAAGCAAGGCGGGATTCTTGTTACCTGGCCTAAACCATCTGTGCACTAAAGGAGAAGAACCAGTATATGCAAAGCATACCTAACAGCCAGCCATATGCAGGGGAGGCCTAGTGCTTCACTTAACTTTGTTTTCTCTGTCTTGCATAATGAGCCTTGATTCCCATTTGCCTTCAGCCTGCCAGATCTGGCTGCCTGTGTACTCACGCTGTTCTCTTGGATCAAACAACTGGCATGCAAGGGATGTTTTTCTGATTAAAAACAAACAAAGCTCTTTGAAGAAAATTTAGAAAATACAGAGAAGTTTTAAGTAGCCAAGTAAAAATAATTTACCCATCATCCCATAATCCAGAAGTAAATACATCTGACCCTTGAACAACATGGGTTTGAACTGCAAGGGTCCCCTTTTACATGGTTTGTTTTTAACCATAAATGAATCAAAAATATATCATTAACCAAACACGAAACCCTCAGGTTCCGAAGGGCCAACTGCAGGACTTGAGTTATGTGAAGATTTGGGTATATGCGGAAGGTCCTGGAACCAATCCCCTATATAAACCAAGGGATAACTATACTGCAATTTAACTTACTTCTGTTTGAACATTATGATAGAGTTATTGCTTTTGCCTCACTTGCCTATCAGTTTGAAGTTTAAAAAAAACCTAACCCACCCTTCTTACCTAATCTGCTATAATGTACCTACCAAAAAGCCTAGTCCTAGCCCATCTGCCTCAGCTCCTCTCCCTTTTAGGTTATAGGGAAGAGGCTGGAGTATAGAGTATATTGTATCTTCTGCCCTTCTTATGTCAACAAGATAGCCTTCCCCTCTGAAACAAAGTAAAACTGTAACACTGTGACTTCTTAAATGAAGGATATGTGGAAAGGCTATGAAAAATACAAAGGCTTTCCTAGGAAATGTGGAAAGCTAGTTCTTGAAATATATACATTGTAGTCACTCAGTCTCACATATTCTAGTTACCAGCTAAGAAGTTACTGAGAATCTGTCATTCAAAGGCATAGAAGCATGGAAGCCTCTGAGTGGAACAAATGCTTTCACATCATTTAAGCTAAAAAAAAAAAAATCTCCAGCAACTATGAATTTATAGTTTAAGGTTGATTTACACTGAATTTCAAATAAAAGGACTATAAAACTTGTTGTTTTTCTGTAAGGGATGTAACATACATTTCAACATCCCTGTTTTTTTAGTAAAATACATTTTTATATAGAAGAAATCATTTGATGTATAAATTCCATTGGTTATCCTCTTATGCTGTTGAAGTCATAAATTACCCCTTCTCAACCCCTACTTGCTCTTTCATTAGAGAATATTCTTTTTTCAGGTATGCAAAAATATTCTCTAATGAAAGTGCAAATGGGGGTTGGGATTTTTAAGTATGATTTTGTAAATGAAACTTAAAGATCATTTTGATTCATAGGAAAAAATTTCTTGTAATCTGAGTGCCAGCATGACTAGCCCCCTAAATATACCCATCAGACATGATACATGTAGTAAGTGGGAAAACACCTCCATGATGGTGCTATTAGCTGCAAATATAAACACAAACAGCAGATCCTCACTTTAGGTAGCACAAAGACTCCTAAAGTCTTCATAAAACAGACACTAGACATAGTAAAAGAATTGTGTATAATATTTTACATATAACATCACCTCATATAATTCTCTAAATTTATGTTATAATTTAAAAGAATACTTTGGTTTCAGAGAATAAAAAGTCATGCTTGATGATTTTGAACTGTGTAAGGAAGGATTTTACAAAGGGCATTAACAAAGCTGAGTGCATCACATTTTCTCCCAAAGGACAACAGTGAAAATTTTCTTCAATAAAATATTGACTAGCTATGGTCAACTGGCAGTACTGTGGTTCTTCCATATGGATCTTTTGTGAATACAGATTGTGGTGGCTGACTCAGATAAAGATCATTAGATAAGCTTATATTATCTACTGCCATTTGGCAACTGACATGACCTGTTAAGATTTCAAAATGAATGTCAAAGCTTTAGGATACAAGCACTATGACTGGAGTCCAACACAAAGTGGCCATACTTTATCATGAGGAAATCTGTAAACCAGATCCTCAATCATTACCCTACCCACAAAAACAAGAAAAGATTTAAACTCCTAAATTAAAAAGACTAAAGAAAGATGTTTTTTGTTTTATGGTGAACATCTCAAAGCCATATATATATAAAGTATGATTATTCTGAATTTAAATAGCTTCTTAGTTTCCTTATTCTGTCTTTATCTTCCATCAATCAATACTGAGAAAGTTCAAAATATGTTTTAAGTCTTTAAGATAGGCTTAGAATTCTAGCTAATATTCAGGGCAGGCTGGCCAGCTATGCTAGAACTAGAACCAAAAACACATCTCATATCCTCCAGGAGTTGTTCCAGGATTCTGTGGGGTTCCACTACCTTGCTTTTGGAAGTAGGCAAGGGATACAGCACAGCAGACCCACTCCTGCTGTATAAAATGCTTATTAGGGAACAAATTTGCTGCTCGCATGGATGATCTGAGACAGGGTCATCGGAGAACAGAGGGATTGAAGGAGTCCACGGGTTTAAGGAAAACCCTGCGTTCACCCAGACTATGTATGTTTTCTGCTGAAATTAGTGTTCCAGATGATAAAGAAAGAAAGAAAACAGTTATGGTAAAATATACCAAAGGTGAGCACATATTCAAAATACCATCTTTGGATTAAATTGTCATCGAGACAATATATTTGGTTTGACTTTTAAAGAACACAGTGCAATTTTAAAATCACACTACAATTAGAATCTAGCAATTACCATGGCATTTATTAGTTGTCAAAAAGCTTCACAATCAGTTTCATGATCAGAAAATAAAGCAAAATTTCATTATTGTTTTCTTTATAAAACTGATGAATTTCTGAAAAGATAAAGGATCACTTGCTTTTTAAAAATGTCAGCTTCACCACATGATGTTCCAGAGATCTGAGCTAAAAGCTTCTCAAGTTTTACCATCCATGGTGTCCTTATTTGTAACTGAGACCCATCTGTTATTTTCCATCTGAAGCTGGAAAGAGTTAAGACAATTAGTTTCTGTTTCACTCTGAAAAAAAATTACAAAATTAAGTAGTAACTATTTTCTTTTACATTTTCCCTTAAACCAATTTTTAAAGTATGAGTCTAAATAGAAAAACTACCTCACCTTCTTCAGCAGTTTATAACAAAGTGAAAGAAGTTGAACTAAGAGAGCCATCATGGATCTTGTCTTTGTAATACACTTGTCAACCTACAGTGACAAAAAGCATGCAAATGATATTCTAAAAGTAGTACTTTAAAAACTTTATCATTTATTTAGTTTTAACATAAAATTTTCTCCATATGGAAATCTAATGTATATGGATTTAGGCACATGAGCTGACTTAAAGCCCCAGGATACAGGTGCAGGGGTCACTATCTCATGGAATCCCAGCAGAAAGAGTGGGTGGAAAATCAATCATTCTACTGCAAGCTGTTTAGGGGCTTCTCAAAACATCCCAAATAGTGGAATTAAATCCCATCCTTTGCAATCCCTTGCACTCAGCTTTGTGGGCACAAGCCCATATTCTCTCAGACAAATTATAGGACACCAGACTCTGAGGCACCTGTGTCCTAGTTAGACAGGTAATGATTTCAGAATTGAATGGTAGCTGCTCAGTGCTATGGAATTAATCATGTCAAAAAACTATCTGGTGAATCTGCTACTCCCTGGGGTCAGTTACAATGATAGATAATAAATGATTCTTGTAGACAAGGCATGAAAAAAGGAAATAAATTGCCCTTCTGTGGGTATTAACACTTTAAGAGAGGCTTTCACTAACCTGATAAAGATAGATGTGTGAAAGTTTACCTTTAAAAATACGTTACCTTTAGAAATACTTTATTCTGCAAAGAAGACTTAGTTATTGTCTGGAGCTGGTGGCATAGAGGAATTAGCTTGTTTATTTCCAGGAGAAGCATAAGCTTATCATCGTCTTTCAGCTGAAATGTAATTTAGCAAGTTATAACAGCCCACAACAAAACTTCATCTTTAATACCTTAAATACGTTTATACCTTGATATTATACCCCCAAAGTGGGTATACATGATACCACCACCAGCACTGGATAGGTGGACATATGTTACCTGTTTTGAAAAAGCTTGTACGCTGGAAGTAAGCTTTAAACCCTCTGAAGCAAAAACCTGGTAGAAAGAGAAAACACCACTATTTTAGACTGATGTTTTATGGATAGTTGGTAAGAAATATACTTACTAATAATTTTTACATAGAATTTAAAAAATAAAGCCTAGCCACAAAAAGTCTGTCATGGAACTCCTAAACTTTTCACTGTACCAGGAATACGCAAGGGTTTAACTGTTTTCAGAAGGAGTTTTCACAGACCAGATGCAGAATCCATCCCTGGAACGGCTTCTCTACACCAGACCTCCAATTATTCTGGAGGGTCACACAGACCTGATATCCAGCCACACAAATTATGTCTAGATTACTCGAAGAACCTAGAGCTCAAATATGCCCAATTATAAAATGATGATGAGTTTTGAAACATTAGGTCAAAAGGATTAGGACTTTCCCACTTCCATCTAGGTAAGACAAAATTCGTCACCCATACATATTCCATAACCAGACATTTGAGAGAACCAATCCAGGTTTGTTGCTGTTTTTTTAAACTAATTTTCACTAGTCATAATGTACCATGAATTCTATAATTTAGTGAGATGAACAGGATGCTGGAGAAGAACAGTGAAAAATAAGGTTGGCTAAGTAAGATAGAAGTATTTAGGATAATATGTTAAAATGGTTTGCAGGATATTTTTGAGTGAGATACCGAGGGACTAAAGGGAGGAAGACTTAGCTTTAGATGGCAGTAGTAATAATGAAAAGCACAGGAAAAAACTGAGAGTGATTTGTGAATAAAAATAATAGATCTTCATAATAAAGAATACTAAGAAGGAAGAGGCAATAATTCCAGAGTTAATTTTTACCCTCTATGCAAAAGGCTTAACACCTTGCCATCATTGGATAAAGTCATCTCAAGGTCAAATCATACTTTGCAACCTTCCCTTTAAAAGGGAAACCAGTAAGCTTTACTTCTAGATTCCATCCAAACTAAATGATTCACTTCCCCATGTGTTCCTTATCACTTCATGTTACCACTTTCTAGTCTGCAAATTTTCTCTTTCCTTCTAGCCTGTACACCCCTTGGGGACAAAATCCATGTCTGTCTCATAGAGCATGATGGTTTTAAAACTACCTTAAAGCTGATAACTACCAAGTCTCTGTCTCCACTCCTGAACTGTCCTGATATCAGTCTCATACAGTCATCCCTCAGGATCCATGGGAGATTGGTTCCAAGACCTCTCCAAGAATACCAAAATCTATAGATGCTTAAGTCCCTTACATAAAACAGCATAGTATTTGCATATAACCTACACTCATCATCCCATATACTTTAAATCATCTCATCTCTAAACTACTTATAATACCTAAGTTAATGTAAATGCTAAGTAAATTGTAGTTATACTGTATTATTTTTCCCCCTTGCAACTCTCACCTGTTAAAATGTATTTTTTTTTTTTTTACTGTTATGTTTTATTGGTTTTCTTCCTTTTTCCTTTTTTTTTTTTTTTTTTTTTTGAGACAAGGTCTCACTCTGTTGCTCAGAGTGGAATGAAGTGTTATGATCACAGCTCACTACAGCCTTGGCCCCCCAAGTAGCTAGATCGCTCAAGCGATCCTCCTGCCTCAGCCTCCCGAGTAGCTAGAACTACAGTGTGTGCCACCATGCCCCACTAGGTTTTGTTTTTTTTTTTTGTGGAGGTAAGGTCTCACTATGTTGTCCAGGTTGGTCTCAAACTCCTAGACTCAAGTGATCCTCCCAGCTTGGTTTCCCAAGGAGAGAGCCATTGCACCCAGCCTGTTTTTTACTCTTTCGATTATTTTCAATCCATAGTTGGTTGACTCTACAGATGCAAAACCTGCAGACAGGGGGAGCCAAGTGTATATCCTACCTGACCTTTGTACTCAACATGTGTGAAACAAAATGCTCCATTTCCATCCTCTAAATCTGGTGTTCTCCCTCAGTGTTTCCTGTCTTAGTAAATAGCACTACGACTTACTCTGCTGCTCAAGCCAAAAACCTTACTTAAAACGTAATTGGATCATACTTCTCAAAACGCTGAATGGGTTTATAGTCATCCTTGGCAGGGAAAAAAAGTCAAAGTTCTCCCCATGGCCATCATATTTTACCACTTTCCTTCTGGCTCACTTCACTCCCATCTATAACTGCCTCCTGACTCTTCTGATACACCCAGTCCTACCCCTGCATCTCAGGACTTTGTACTTGTTTTGGCCATCAAAATCCTCTCCCTCATTTATTTATCCAACTCTCTCACTTCATTACTGTCTCTACTCAAACAGTAACTCCTTAGAGAAGTCTTTTCTGATCACCCCTCTATCACCTCTGTATTCTAGTCCTACATGATTTTATCTCCAAGTACTTACATATGTGCATCTAATACTTAGATTTTTATTGTCTATATACTGCCGCTACATCATAAGTTCTGTAGGGGCAGGAGCTTTGCTTTGTTCACTTTTCTCCACAGAGCTCTTTTCCCCCAGATCTTACATATAGCACAAGTTCAATAAATACTTGTTGAATGAATTATGCCATTTTATGTTAATCACAGTTTGGAGACAATTCAATAGACATTGGTTTAATGTCTAAGCTCACATAGGAAGAAGGTAAGTAGTAGATCTTTTGTAGTAAAACACCCCTACAGGGTGATATAACAGAATGGACTTGGGCCAAACTGAAAAAAAAAAATCTAGAATTTATTTCAAC